TTCTTTACACATATATCTTCCTACTGTAATTCAGTTTAAATGGATAGTTTTTACGTCTCAATAAAATTATTGACTACTGATTTGTAACTGATATAATCCTTTGTATTATTCAATGTTGAAAAAATTCAGCCACAATGAATCAGGGGTGTTCCTAAAAACTTCCAGAAAAAAGAAAACATGAAACTACCCCCGGGATCAGAAGGAAGATGTGTTTGCTGATAACACCAGACGTCTTTGGTTTAGAGTATTTATTTCAACTTGAAATTTTCTTAATTCGTAGACATAATCTTGACACCTGCGAATACGAGGTTTAGAACACCATCGCATTGTAAACGAGCCTCTTAGTGCAGTCGGTGTTGGTATCTTAAAGAAAATGATTTTTATCTTTCATGACAATAATAAAGGTGACCTAGAAAAGTGTTCCTTAAATAATTCCAAGCTTATTATATTAATTAGCAAATATTAATTGATAGCAAAGCTAATCATCTTTTCTTCTAATTTGTTCATTAATTCTGTTCCTTTGCAGTGCTGTTCTCACCTCATTTTACCTTTTATAAAAATACACAGAGGGTGTCTCTTTTTCACTTGGTAAACGTTTTAAATGTCACAAAGTTAATTTTCTCTATTTTCAATATAAGCAAATATTTTAATTGAATATATTTAATAAGTTACATATAAAAATATCTACCATTTCTATCACTGGTCCTAATGTAGGTACATACTCAATATATGATTGAATTTTAAAGAAAAATATTTACTAAGATAATAAGAGTGAAATGACAGAGTTCTTATAAATTGTTGCTACAAATTATATTGTATGTTTAAAAGGATAACTTTACTGGAAAAATGGGTCTAGAGATACTTTTTGTTTTTGAGACAGAGTGTCACACTGTCGCCCTGGTTGGAGTGCAGCGGCGCAATCTCGGCTTACCGCAACCTTTGCCTTCCGGGTTCAAGCGATTTTCTTGCCTCATCTTCCCAAGTAGTGGGATTACAGGTGCCTGCCACCAGCTAATTTCTTTGTGTTTTTAGCAGAGACGGAATTTTACCATGTTGGCCAGGCTGGTCTTGAATTCCTGACCTCAGATGATCCACCTGCCTAGGTCTCCCAAAGTGCTGGGATTACAGGCATGAGCCACTGTGCCAGGCTGGATCTAGGGACACTTATAGGGCTTTTCTGTAACGAGTATTGTAGGTATTCTTGTGTTTTATCTCATTTAGGTGTGTGATTTACTCAGCACTTCATCTCTTTCTATACATCTTGGTTATTCATTTATTCATTCATTCATTCATTTATTTTTAGACAGTCTCATTCTGTCACCTGGAGTGCAGTGGCGCAGTCTTGGCTCCCTCAAACCTCTGCCTCTTGGATTCAAGCAGTTCTCCTGCCTCAGTCTTCTGAGTAACTGTGATTACAGGCATGCTAGCGCATGCCTGGCTAATTTTTGTTTGTTTGTTTGTTTTTGGCTGAGCACAGGGGACTTTATTGACGGTACATGACAAGGTGGGGCTCCCCAGGCCCCTCCCTCTTCAAGGGATTTGCATGGAAACTGAGGAGGGGAGATTCAGTGTGGTGGAGGACTCAGTGTGGCACGGACTCCCCAGCAGTGAGGGCCTCTCTTCCTCTCCTGCTCTCACTGGGCTGGTGGTCCAGGGGTCTTACTCCTTGGAAACCATGTGGGACATGAGGTCCACCACCTGTTGCTGTAGCCAAATTCATTGTCATACCAGGAAATGAGCTTGACAAAGTAGTCGTTGAGGGCAATGCCAGCCCCAGCATCGAAGGTGGAAGAGTGGGTGTCACTGTTGAAGTCAGAAGACACCACCTGGTGCTAGGTGTAGCCCAGGATGCCCTTGAGGGGGCCCTCCGACGCCTGCTTCACCATCTTCTTGATGTCGTCATATTTGGCAGGTTTTTCCAAATGGCAGGTCAGGTCCACCGCTGACACGCTGACAGTGGGGACACAGAAGGCCATGCCAGTGAGCTTCCTGTTCAGCTCAGGGATGACCTTGCCCATGGCCTTGGCAGCGCCAGTAGAGGCAGGGTTGATCTGGAGAGCCCTGTGGCCGTCATGCCACAGTTTCCTGGAGGGGCCATTCACAGTCTTCTGGGTGGCAGTAATGGTGTGGACTGTGGTCATGAGTCCTTCTACGATAACCAGAGTTGTCACTGATAACCTTGGCTAGGGGCGCTAAGCAGTTGGTGGCATTGCTGATGATCTTGAGGCTGTGGTCATACTTCTCATGGTTCACGCCCATCACGAACATGGGGACATCAGCAGATGGGGCAGAGGTGATGACCCTTTTGGCTCCCCCCTGCTAGTGAGCCCCAGCCTTCTCCTTGGTGGAGAAGACGCCAGTGGACTCCACCACATGCTCAGCGCCAGCATTGCCCCACTTGATTTTGGAGGGATCTCGCTCCTGGAAGATGATGATGGGATTTCCATTGATGACAAGCTTCCCGTTCTCAGCCTTGACGGTGCTATGGAATTTGCCATGGGTGGAATCATAGTGGAACATGTAGACCATGTATTTGAGGTCAACAAAGGGGTCATTCATGGTGACAGTATCCACTTTACCAGAGTTAAAAGCAGCCCTGGTAACCGGGCGCCAAATACGACCAGAAACGTTGACTCCGACCTTCACCTTTCCCATGGGTGTCTCAGGGCTGCGGCTGACGGTGGGAGACAGATGCGGCTGTCTGTCCAACAGGAGGAGCAGAGAGCCATATTTTCTTTTTTTTAGTAGAGATGGGGTTTCGCCTCCTGACTTCAGATAATCCACCTGCCTGGTGCTGGGATTACAGGCGTGAGCCTCCTCACCGGCCCATCTTGGTTACTTTTCCACAGTGTTAGGAGGAAGAGTTAAATCAGGACTGATTGCTATTCTACGAATTTCTGTCCAGTGTTGTAATACAGAAATTTGGTGTTTCTCTTTAGACTGTTTGATGTGGACAGAGAATGAAATGTAAAGTATGCCTCTCTTCAGAAAGAAGACTTACATTGAAAGAAATAAGCAAACGAATGTGCCTGTACCTTTTATACCTCTCCCCGGTGCACGAAGGAGGCTTGCCAACCGGTGGGCTTCTTTGGAGAGTGGTCAGTCAAGGAAAAGTCTCCTTTGATGGAGAATCCCCAGTATCAGTCTCTGAAGATCTTTTCTGTGAAGCTCTGCGTTCCTCCAGGGAGGAATCCCATGTTCTCTGGCCTGGAAAGTGGTAGGGACGGTGTAGAGCCGGCTGCCCGGCTGCAAGAGAAGTAGCCTGGGAAAGCCTCACCCTTTTCGAACAGTGGCTTGTTCTGCCCTCCCCTGCTTCGGCTGTCATGCCACCTGGAGCACCTCCCGGCAATCTTAATAGGAAGTAAATCTTCCATAGACTGAAAGAGTAGGAGAAGCAGCATTCCCCTGGCTGCTTAGGGTTTAGGTGAGGATCTGACTGTCAAGTCATTTGCCTGTAACTTCATTTCCAAGCCACTAATGCCTCCAATCCAGAACCCACCCACGGTGTTGCAATGTGACTTCTCCCACTTCTCATGGCGCTCCTGTCCGCTGCTGCTTTGCCAACTCCCCTACTCACCTTCTCTTCTTTCCTTTTCTCTTTTCCCTCCCACTCCCTTCCCCTCCCCTCCCTTCCATCTCTAGGTTCCCCTTCCCTCTGCTCCCCTCTCCTCCCTTCCTTTTCCCCTTCCCTCTCCCTTCCTTCCCTTCCCCTCCCTTCCCCTCCCCTCCCTTCCATCTCTAGGTTCCCCTTCCCTCTGCTCCCCTCTCCTCCCTTCCTTTTCCCCTTCCCTCTCCCTTCCTTCCCTTCCCCTCCCTTCCCCTCCCCTCCCTTCCATCTCTAGGCTCCCCTTCCCCTCCCTTCCCCTCCCCTCCCTACCCTTCCCCTCCCTTCCCCTCCTTTCTCCGCCCTTTCCCTCCCCTCCCTTCCATCTCTAGGTTCCCCTTTCCTTCCCTTCCCTTCCCGTCCCCCTCCTTCCCCTTCCCTCCCTTTCATCTCTAGGTTCCCCTTCCCTTCCCTCCCTTCCCCTCCCCTCCCCTCCCTTCTCCTATCCTCTGCTCCCCTCCCTTCCCCTCTTCCTGCTTCCCCTCTCCCCCTTCCCCTCCCCTCTCTTCCCCTCCCCTCCCCTCCCTTCCCTCTCATTTATTTTCCTTCTAGATAGGGCCTCACTCTGTCACCCAGGCTGGAATACAATGGTGTGATCTTGGCTCACTGCAACCTTCACTCCTGGGTTCAAGCATTTCTCCTGCCTCAGCCTCCCAAGTAGCTGGCATTACAGGCACCAGCCACCATACCATACCCAGATAATTTTTGTATTTTTGGTGGAGATGGGGTTTCACCATGTTGGCCAGGCTGGTCTCCAGCTCCTGACCTCAAGGGATCTGCCCGCCTCAACCTCCCAAAGTGTTGGGATTACAGGTGTGAGCCACTGCACCAGGCCTCCGCGTGCTTTTTCTCACCCACCAACATGCTGACCTTGCACGCTTGCTGTTCTTTCCCTTTCTCTTTGACTTTGTCAATTTGCATCTTTTACACTTTTTACTCATTTTCTAGTGGGCTTTGTGAGAAGGCAAACACTACATTCATGTGTTCAGTTCAACCAGAAGTCCCCAACTCCTTCTTAACTCTTACCTTCAAAACCACACTTAGCCCTTTGTTTTCCCATAAAAGAGGAAAGTGTGTCAGTATAAACAGACTGCAGTTCAAAGCAAGGAAATCACATTTTCCACTCTGAGAAGGATCTTACTTCCTGATTCTGCAGAGGCAACAACAGTTATTGGGGTCACCACGTGAGTTAAATGCTAAGGATACCAAAATTGGCAAGGCGTGATCTGTGTTTTCAAGAATCTTATTCTAGGCAGTGGCTCACACCTGTAATCCCAGCACCTTGAGAGGCCAAGGCAGGAGGATTCCTTGAGCCCAGGAGTTTGCGACCAGCCTGAGCAACACAGGGAGAAAAAGACTCGGGCTCCGTAAGCAGAGAGACCTGTGTCCGTATTTTAACTGAGTCACTTCCTTGTTGTGTAACATTAGGTAACTGATTAAAATGCTTCTGTGTCTTTCCACAGCATTACACAAGCAGCACATTGGAACCTCAAAAAGAACCAGAGCCCTTCCTCTGTTTTAGTGATAGAACAGGCTCAATTCTGGTTAACACTGAATGTCATTCTGTGCAGTGAGAGGCTCGGGAAGTCTGGGAGAATTTCCTCGGTGACTCTAAGACTAGGGTTGGCCTGCAGCTACATCCAACTTCCTGGACCTGCTTAAGTCTGAACTCTGGTCTCATGAAAAATTCAAGGTTGAGACATTTTTGAAATTCTTTTTGTTCTTGCAGTTTTTTCAAGGGGGAACATGGCAAATATGTTCGGTTTCATCCTTGTCGCCACTGCTCTGATAATGGGCAAGGAAGTCTGGGTAAGCTTATTGTGAAAACTATTATTATATTTATAATGCCTGCTTTTACCTGAAGTTTCTTTCATCTTGCATTAAACCTATAGTGACTTGTCATTGAAATAACTAAAGGGGAGAAGGAAAGAGGCTGGTGTAGAAACACCCAACAGATAGGAAAGCAGCACTGTAAAGTGCTTTACATTTTTTTTAATAAAAAGTATTCACAATATATAAAACATTTTTAAAATTTACTGGAGTTGTTTGGTTGGAATATAATATTGAAATCTGAAACTGTCCATAGTAATTAAAATTGACCTTGGGTTTTTCAATATTGAAAAGTGTAAAACTAGCCAGATTATTAGAAAGTAATTATGCTGAACTTGTCTTGTCCTCCATTTGTGAATAAAAAAGACAAAATATTCATTCAAAGTTCTTGGAGAAAGAAAGCTCCTAGGTTTTAAATAAGCTTACTAGATATGTATAAGCTGCCTCATAAAGATTGGGCATACTTGTGATCTCTTCAATTGTTTTAAAATTGCATAGTACACTCTATTTAACAGTATCACAACTGATCCCCACTATTGTAAAACAACATAGGACTCAGACACCATAAAATCTTCTTGCTGTTCATTTTTTAGCCTGTGTGATTCAAGGTGCTAAGCAAATAACTCTCTCAGAGAGGATAAATCTGAGTGATAGGGAGAGAGTAACAAGAGTGAATAAGAAATCATCCTAGAGAGGCCAGGTACAGTGGCTCATGCCTGTAATCCCAGCACTTTGTGGGGGGCAAGGTGGTTGGATTGCTTGTGGCCAGGAGTTCAAGACCAGCATGGACAACGTGGTGAAACCCCGTCCCTACTAAAAATCCCAGGTGTTGTGGCACGCAGTCTGTATAGTCCCAGCTATTTGGGAGGCTGAAGCACAAGAATCACTTGAACCAGAGAGGTAGAGGTTACAGTGAGCTGAGATTGCACCACTGCATTCCATCCTGAGTCACAGAGCAAGACTCTGGGAAGGAAGGAAGGAAGGAAGGAAGGAAGGAAGGAAGGAAGGAAGGAAGGAAGGAAGGAAGGAATCATCCTAGAAAAATGGCTGGGAGAGGTTCCATGATTTGAACCTAGAGATGGGAGGGAGGGGAGACTACAATTGCTTCTCCATCATTAGATAACCTTCAGTTTTGAGGCCAGATTTTTGTCTTCGTGAAATATATAGTGAGAATTTATAGCCCTTTATAGGGAGGCAGTGTACCTCTTCCCTTTGCCTGAATTAGGATATCTAAGTGTGCTGTTCTGACTGCCTAGCAGGGTGCCTGGAACCCAGGAGGTCCTCATATCAATGGAATGATGCAAGGTAGTGCATAAAGATAGGAACAATTTATGCAGGCATAAATTGGAAAATATATTTGACTATAATTGAATGACTGTTTTCAGGAAATCATCTGTATAATGGTAGTGTAAGCCGATTCCATTTTTTTTAGGAGGGAGTGTCACCCTGTCACTGGAGTGCAGTGGCCAAATCTCAGCTCACTGCAACCTCTGCCTTCCAAGCTCAAGCCATCTGCCCACCTCAGCCTCCAGAGTAGCTGGGACCACAGACGCTCACCACCATTCCTGGCTAATTTTTTTTATGTGTGTGTTTGGTAGAGATGGGGTTTCCCCATGTTGCCCAGGCTAGTCTTAAACTCCTGAAAGCAAGTAATACTCCCATCTTGGACTCTCAAAGTGCTGGGATTACAGGCATGAGCCACCATCCCTGTCCCAATTACATTTTAAAATTCATATTTTAAACATTCATATTTGTCACATGAGATCATGACATGAGCTGTAAATAGAGATGTTAAGGTAAAAATGGGAAAATGGCCAAAATTGTTCTTAAGCCCTCCTTTCACTATTTACAGTGGTTCTCCCAAAATTGAGTATTCAGGAACCTTGATTATAGCTTCTTGGCCTCAGTAACTTTTCCTAGAAGACCCACCTCTGTATCTTTCCCTTCCAATTCACCTATTAGATTTGCTTTATCTTCAGAGAGCTCTTCTCAGTCAGATGCCGCATTAGACAGGAGCTGGTAAACTCATTTACATACATCCTTAAAAGGTAAGTAACCGATTCAGGCTGCTCCTGTCCCTTTTTGAAGCAGCTCAGGGAAAAATAACAAATAAACAAAAGTTAAAAGGACTCCAGGAGAATTTTTAGCAACAGAGAAATGAGTGAGATACACAGAGATATAAGGTCCTAGACTAGTATCCCTTACAAAGGTGCCATATGTCATCAGATTAGATGCATTAAATTCTATTTTAAGGCCAGGCATGGTGGCTCATGTCTATAATCCCAGCACTTTGGGAGGCCGAGGTGGGCAGATCACTGGAGGTCAGGAGTTCAAGACCAGCCTGGACAACATGGTGAAACCTTATCTCTACTAAAAATACAAAAATTATCCAGGCATGGTGGCACACACCTGTAGTCCCAGCTGCTCAGGAGGCCGAGGCAGGAAAATTGCTTGAACCTGGGAAGCAGAGGTTGCAGTGAGCCAAGATTGTACCACTGCACTTCAGCCTAGGAGACAGAGCAAGACTCCATCTCAAAATATATACATTATGCCTGTAATCCCAGCACTTTGGGAGGCTGAGATAGGTGGATCACAAGGTCGGGAGATTGAGACCAGCCTGGTCAATATGGTGAAACCCTGTCCCTACTAAAAATCCAAAAATGAACCAGGCGTGGTAGCAGGTGCCCATAGTCTCAGCTACTTGGGAGGCTGAGGCAGGAGAATTGCTTGAACCCAAGAGGCAGAGGTTGCAGTGAGCCGAGATCATGTCACTGCACTCCAGCCTGGGCAACAAGAGCTAACTCATTCACATGCATCCTTAAAAGGCAAATAATGTATTCAGGCTCCTCCTGTCCCTTTTTGAAGTAGCTGAGAGAAAAATAACAAATAAACAAAAGTTAAAAAGACTCCGGGAGAATTTCTAGCAACAGGAAAATGAGTGAGACACACAAGGATACGAGATCCTAAACTACCATCCATTATAAAGGTGCCATATGTCATAAGATTTTATATATATATATATATATATATATATATACACACATATATATACACACACACCAGAGAACCATTTGAAAATCTCATTTATTATGGGGATTTACATGACAATGATACAATTAACTTCTGTAAAGCACATTGCTATTTAGAAAACACATAAGCAATATCATGTAGAGATTGAGAGCACAGTCCTTGAATTGAATTTGAATCCCACCTCCCCTTACCCACCGGGCATTCAGGACTGAGCCCGTTCCTACCACATGGAACCGCATGGAATTGTTATGAGGATTGAATGACACAATGATAAAGCTCTTAGCATAGTGATTCTGATTATTTTCTATGATTTGATCCTTTGAGTCCAGAAGTTTTAGCATAAGCCATCATTTCCAGTTCTTCAAATAGCAGGTAGGAGCAGAACTGTTCAAACCACTTTCTGGTTGGAATAATATTCTGAAATGGGAATGGGAGACAAAATGGAATCACTGATCTATCCAAATATTTAAAAAGCACTTGTTTTCCATGAAAAGGAGATGCAGACTCATCTCATCTCATCTGTGTTGCAGGCGCTCGAGGACTGTGCCCAGGAGCAGGCGCGGCTCAGAGCCCAGGTGCGCCTGCTTGAGACCCGGGTCAAACAGCAACAGGTCAAGATCACGCATCTTTTGCAGGAGAAGGAAGTCCAGCTCCTTGATAAAGGAGAGGAGAGTAGTGTCATTCACATTGGAGGCAAGAGGCAGTATGCAGGTCAGAATGGACTTGTCTTAAGTGTTTCAATCACTTACATTACACACCCATGAGCAATGATGGTGCTAGTTAATTGTTCACTTCGGGTTTTGTTAAAGAGCTTTTCCTATTTTAGTAGCAGGCAACAGGAAGCATTATATCAATTTTGAATGTCTTCTTTCACACTTTATGTTTTTCCATCTCTGCAGGGACATTTAATGTGAATGTTAAATCTGAGAATTTATATCATTTAGTAAGAAATCAGGACAATAGATTGTTTAAATACTGGTGTGCACGGCCAGATGCGGTGGCCCACACCTGTAATCCCAACACTTTGGGAGACTGAGGTGGGCAGATCACAAGGTCAGGAGATCGAGACCAGCCTGGCCAATATGGTAAAACCCCCTCTCCACTAAAAATACAAAAATTTGCTGGGGATGGTGGCGGTTGCCTGTAGTCCCAGCCACTTGGGAGGCTAAGGCAGGAGAATCACTTGAACAGAGGTTGCAGTGACCCTAGATCAGACCACTGCCCTCCAGCTTGGTCGACAGAGCAAGACTCCCTCAAAAAAAAAAAAATTGGTGTACACATGGCAGATTACAATTGGGAATGTTTGCATTTGAGCTTTGGGTGTATTTGGGTGTATTTGTGTATCTTTTCTTGCTGCATGTATGCAGTTTCCCTTCCAAAACCCTAATGGGCATTAGGGTGGCAAATAAGGCAAAAAATAAAGGAGCAGAAAAAGGAAAAAGAACCAGAATTACTTAGGAAAATAAAAGAGTAGTTTTTTATATGTATATTTTATGGTTTCATAATGTTCCTTTTGATGAGGTCAGTATTTCTCCCCAGAAACTAAATGATTTTAAACTGGCAACGTATTATACGAATTGCTGCACAGATCATTACTCTCTACAGAAAACTGTTCATTTGAATTCCTCCAGAAGTAAAAGGCATCTTTAGAGTAAACAAACAATGATTGTCAGAAACAAAAAGATGCTAACTAGAGCACTTTGTCCATATGTCTGCTCTAGCAAATGATGATACATTGTAATTTCTGTTTATAAGTCTATCGTGGTCCATTACTGGGCACTTTGTAAGGTCTAAGATGATATTTAATGTGCCTCTTTATTGACTATTAGAGCGGCTAGAACACAGTAGATCCTCATATTCATGAATGAAAGGAAGGTAGTTCATAGGGAGAGGAATAGCAAGATAAGCAAATATAAATTGGGGGAAATATTTGACTAGAATTGAAAGACTGTAGAGTTCAAAGAGATGCCAATCTTAAGGGAATAGAAACAGCTGTATTTTGTGCTTCTAAACATACAAGTGTAGGATACAGGAGTTGTGAGAACCGTAGAGCCTATGCTTCAATCAAACGCTTCAGGGCACCCGGCTAGCTCTGATGGCAGCAGATGTGACTCTTAAAATGCTCCCTTTTTCTCTACCAAGATCCTTATTTCCCTCTGCTCAGACTCCTCACCCTGGGCTCCTGCTTCTCTGTTGGCCAGCATCTTGATCCAACTGGCCTACCTCTGGCCCTTTGAGATCAGAAAAAGGCCAGAGCCATTGGTCTGCGGTAGTGGGGATGGCTACAGCATGAAGATGGCCTGTGCCTCTGAAGGAAAGAACCAGGGACAGTTCAGGTAAAAACAGGCTTGGGAAGCAAATGGACTATCATTCAAGAGATGAGCACACAGATAAGTGGTCCCAAAAGTATGCACGAAACTGATCACAAGGGTGAGGAACTGGTAGATGCAAGTGGAACATCATTATTCCAAATTTCAAACCAAGCCCAAGACTCATAGTGGCTATTCAAACACATTCTGAGCAGGTTATTGACGCAGACTCAAGGGTCAATTATGGCAGGAGGCAGCAAATCAGACGTTTGTTCCCAGGCCTCTACAATCAGTCATGGGAAGACCAAGGCTTAAGTGCTGTATTAGCCCGTTCTCACACTGCTATAATGAAATAACTGAGGCTGGGTCATTTATAAAGAGAAGAGGTTTAATTGGCTCATGGTTCTGCAGGCTATAAAGGAAGTGTAGCAGCATCTGTTTCTGGGGAGACCTCAGGGAACTTACAATCACAGCAGAAGGCAAAGCAGGAGCAGGCATATCTCGCATGGTGAGAGCAGGAGGAAGAGAGAGGAGATACAACACTCTTTTAAACAACCGTATCTCATGAGAGCTCATTCACTGTATAGCACCAAGGGGGATGGTGCCAAACCATTCATGAGAACTCCACCCCGCTGAGCCAATCACCTACCACCAGGCCCCGCCTCCAACACTGGGAATTACAATTCCACGTGAGATTTGGTGGGGACACACATCCAAATCATATCAAGAGCTAAAAATCCAATCCTGGTGTTGACATCGCTGGGGAGCAGACTTTAGAATACGGCAAGAAATCAGTTACTTGGAAATTACAATGCCAAGTTCAGAGCAGGATTAGCTGTACAAGCAGGAGTAGATAGAAGAGTCAGACAGAGATGGTTCAGAAAAAACATATCATGATTACTATAAATAATAAGACTGTTGTAATAATAACACTGATGATAGGAATTCTAGATCACTGTTTTTTGACATAAAAACAAAAAAAATCCGAATTCATTAGATTAACACTTAATATTCTTCATGTATTAAGTACAATCATGAAGGAGAAAAAGGGGGAATAAAATATAAAATATAAGTATATTTCAGTTCTTTATTTTTTAGCATATAGGCAAATAGTCTAGAGAGGTTACTAAGAACAAATAATAAATAAAATATATAACATAAAAATTCCAGTATAATATGTATCTGAATAATCTTGTATAAAATATATAAGAACTTGCTCACATCAAAGTTTATGTTTTTGGCATCCTTAAATTTAAAAAAATTAAATATTCATATATATAATCTGTAGAGATACAAATTTTTTGTTTTTGTTTACAAGTTACTTTTTTGTTATAGATTATTTTCTGAATTCTAATTTATCTGATGGTAGAGAACACCCAATTACATACAACCTAGCAATTTGTGCAAACAATGCACAAATCACATGATTTTACAGAGCATATTATTAAGCTGTCTCTTTTTTTAAACATTTGGGTGCTAGTGAATTATGAATTAAAAGGTTACTGTATCAAATTTACATTAACTGGTGGTAGTCACAACAATCTGGCATCACCATGGCTGTTCAGTCGGCAAGTCCACTGGTTCCACATCTCCCCTTCTGCAGGAGCCCTGAATCTATATATGATACCAAGTGACCTAAGGTATTGACTCTGAAGCTTGATTTCAAAGTCCAGCTGCCCTTCTTGCTGGCTGTGGCCTTTGGGTGAATTACATTACATTCTCTCAATATTAATTTAATTGCACAGTAAAAAAATAACAAAAAGAGCATAATGAATTGCTTATAACACAAAGGATAAATGCTTGAGGGGATGGACACATCATTTTCAAGATGTGATTATTAGGCACTGCATGCCTATATTCAAATATCACATGTACCCCAGTAAGTACATACCCCTGCTAAGTATCCACCTTCCTTTATCATTTTATTTTTTTTCTTTTTGTTGCCTGGGGGTGAGGATGGCAGTGGCAGGGCCAGTTCTGGCATATCCCAGCAACCTCTGTTGCTGACCTCTTTTTGTGTTTAGAATGTGGGGTACTTTGTGCCTTTGGTTCTCAGCTTTGAGCCTCAGCCACCATCCGGGTACAACAGGACAAAGCCCATCTGGCAAGCTGTCATGTCACTTTATGAGCTTAAACATTCAGAGAAAGAAGGCACATCACCCAGTTTAGCACAGCGTTTGTCAAAACAGAAGGCAGGATGCCTTGGCCTCACTCTAGTATTATGTAAATATTTTTCTTTCTTCCTTTTTTTTTTTCCAAGAGACGGGGTTTCACCATGTTGGCCAGGATGGTCTCAAACTCCTGACCTCAGATGATCCACCCGCCTTGGCCTCCCAAAGTGCTGGGATTACAGGTGTGAGCCACCACGCCCAGCCTTCTTTCTTTTGTTTTTTAAACAAAACTCCCATGAATACAAATCTCCTTAACCCCACTTTTCTTCTGCTTATTCTCCAGGGGTGAGTGGATCAGAATGTTTTGAAAATTATCATTTTAAATATCAAGTTTATATTTTCAATTCTACATTGTTCAAACTTTCTGCTGTTACGGTTTAAGTCTCATTTCCCAAAGCAGGCTTCTTTACTTGTTCTCTATAAGCAAGTTGAACTACCGGTGCTTTTTTTTTTAAAATATTTATTTATTTGTTGGGGGTTTTGTTGTTGTGTTTCTGTTTTTTTTTTTTTCTTTTTTCAGTTGAAAGCTTTTCTTAAGTTGAGTTTGGCATTTTCTTCTGGGGAGAAGGAAAATTTTAAAAACAAGACCAAAAAAATAACAAACTCACAGTTGTCATAAAATAATAACAAGTAGAAAATGTTGGCTGAAACCTCTATATTCACTAAGTTTTCCAGAGGCAAGTGTTATGGCTAATCACTACCATAGTTGCCTGGAAAGTAGTTTGAACCTTGTGAGTCTTTCGTGTTCAGCTCTTTGGTAGGAAATTAAATGTAAGCAAACAGCTTCGTTCCTAATAGGGCTAAAATCTGCTTACTTTAATAAAAGTGTACAATATACTTGACTACAAGATGTAAACTTTAAAACAACATTGATCTAATTTTAGGGAATCATTTTCTCATTGTTTTGCTTCTTGTTTAATTTCCAAAACAGGATCCTTTTTAAAATTTAGCATGTATTTGAACACTTGTGCTTCTGAATCTTGAAAATAAATATATAAATAAAGCCTAAATCATTACAAAGATAAACATCTCACCAAAGCAGTAGTAAATGATTGGTCCCAACCATGTGAAGGCTTTATAAAATGACTAAGGCTCTTTGTTTTCTTTTCTCTTCTGATTTCTATGACCTGCTCAACCTACTTAATGTGCAACATATTTTATCTGTAACAAAACAAGAGAGTTGTAAATTTGGCAATTTAGTATCAAAATAATGAACAGGAAAAGAACTGTAAAATATGCTACAAGAATGGAATTATCCAATCAGAAAAACAATTTTAAGAAAGGAAACTAACAAAGTGGAAAGGGTAAAAGTGAAATTTGACGATGTTATAGTATTTTTATTCATATGTTTGTAGATGGCTCTTCTTGAGGCTATCTGTTCCTAGTGGCCACTACCTCAGTCATCCTAAAACATAGCTTGCTCTGAATCTAAACAATAGGGAAGTCCCTATTTGCCACATTATCTAAGTCTGTGCACATCAACCTAGATGAGACCCAATGGATATTAATTTATATTACCCTCAAGTGGGTTAAAAAACAGGTATCACCTTTAGACCGGATATGGTAGCTCCCTGTAATTCTGCTACTTTAGGAGGCTGTAGTGGGTGGATTGCCTGACCTCAGGAGTTTGAGACCAGTCTGGCCAGTGTGGTAAAATCCCATCTCTACTAAAAATACAAAAAATTTAGCAGGGTGTGGAGGCGCATGCCTGTAATCCCTGATATTCAGGAGGCTGAGGCAGGAGAATCGCTTCAACCTGGGAGGGGGAGTTTGTAGTGAACAGAGATCACACCATTGCACTCCAGCCTGGGCGACAGAGCAAGACTCTATCTCAAAGGCAAAAAAAAGAAACAGATATCATTCTTTGGTGACAAATGGGTAGCTATGTTTGCTTGAGGGTTCAAAGAAACACCACAGCAAGAAATAATTAAAGGATGAAAAGAATAGCAGAAGCTTGCAGTTTTTAGCAAAAACATCTCAGAATGTATGGACTTTTAGAAACTTCAGTGGATTAATAAAAAATCGGATAAGGCTAAGAAGTTATAAGACTTTGACAAGATTACTATTTTTGATTCGTTTCCAGATGTCCAGAATAATTTAACGTGCTCTAGGTCAAGATAACCTGTATTAACTTAGTTGTTTGGTGTTACATTTCTGCTTTCATTTTTAGCTTCATGGGTGAGATAAGTTCTACTATTCTGTCTGATAAAACTATAAGTTCCACCTAAATATACTGTTATTAGCACACTACACATAACTTGCTTTTTAAGATTGCTTTCTACAAAACTCAGAAATTAGAAACTAGGCCAGGTGTGGTAGCACACACCTGTAATCCCACACTTTGGGAGTCTGTGATGGGAGGATAGGATTCCTTGAAGCCAGGAATTTGACACCAGCCTGGGCAATATAGTGAGACTATCTCTGCAAAAAAAAAAAAGAAAAAAGAAGAAATAAACAAAAAACTAGATTCTTATTTCACTCCTTTTTATCCATGATTATATCAAAGATTCAGGTGGCAAATATTAGCAAAGGAAATAAAACTTTCCTAATATCCACTGGAAGATATACAAGATGCAATTTTAAGACGCTGATTTTTATATCACGTGTTATCTCTCTCCATTGATACTGAGTAGTCTCATTCAGAGGCTTCCTAGAGGGGGAAAAAGAAACATAATAAATGGTACATTACCTTGTCTTAAAAACAGATTGTTCAGAGGTTTTCAATGATGGGTATAAGCTCAGTGGATTCTACAAAATCAAACCTCTCCAGAGCCCAGCAGAATTTTCTGTTTATTGTGACATGTCTGATGGAGGAGGATGGACTGTAATTCAGAGACGATCTGATGGCAGTGAAAACTTCAACAGGTATGCTAACTATGACATAAAAATTTATTTGTAGTAGCAAATGTGAGATTTATAAGTTAAATATTTTGATCATATTCTGAAGTCTACTAATTAGACAGAATTTCACTTTCTCTAAGTAATACTGAAAATGAATTAACTAATCAAGAAAATATTGGAGGTGGTGGTAGCAGGGGGCAAGTGGGAGTCACCTTGGTACCACAAATGGAGTTTGCTAAAATCAGCTTTCACTTAACATTTTTTTAGAGGATGGAATGACTATGAAAATGGCTTTGGAAATTTTGTCCAAAAACGTGGTGAATATTGGCTGGGCAACAAAAATCTTCATTTATTGACCACTCAAGGTAAGGTTTGAATGATGTCAAATTTATTTGAAATATAATAAAAACAACACTATTTTCTAAATCAAATTGTAGGCAATGAAACTAATTCAATAATTGCTATGATTTGCAGACGGTAGTGATAACTTTCGGGCAATAATCCCAAATGTAAAATGTGGCTGCCTAAAATTAGAACTAGAAAAAAGAAACTAGAATTGGGTTGGGGGGAACTGTTTTCATATATATATATATATATTCTATTTCTAAAAAGGATATACAATGTCATAATTGTTTCTTTTTGATGCCTTGAGTTCCTGAAAATTATATATATAGTATTGGTTATCTAGTATCACAATCGTACTGCATAACAATCCCCTTCCAAAGTTAGTGGCTTAAAATCAGCAACCATTTATTAATTCTTACAAATCTGCAGGTGGGCTGGGTGATTTTGCTGATCATGGCTAGGCTTGCTCATGGGTCTGCAATCAACTTCCTGATTGAAGTGGCTGCTCTAGATGGAAGGATTCCACTTGGCTCCATAGGGTCTCTCATCTTCCAGCTAGCTAGCTGGCCTTGTTCTTGTAGCACAGGCAGGGTTCCAGAAAAAAGAGTGAATGTTTAAAAGTCTCTTGAGATCTAGGCTCAGAACTGGCACAGTGTCATTTTTCTTCTGTTGGTGAAAGCAAATCACAGGACCAGCTGAGACTTTTTTTTTTAAATGAAATAAACAATAGGAGGAGTTATGAAGATGTATTTCGAGAGAGAGAGATGAAGAAGTAGGGAATTGGCGCTATGTTTGCAATAAAATACCGTAATATATTAAATGTCCTTGTTTCCACATACTTTTCATCTTTTATGTTGAAATTTTTTCTAAGATGCAACCAATTTGAAAGAAGTTTCAACCCACCGCCTGGATCCTACATTAACATTTAATTTTGCTTGTTTTTATCATGTATCTATCCATTTGCCCGTCACTCAATCCATCTATCAATCCATGTTTTCTCTGTATATATTTCCAAGTAAATAGCAGACATCTGGACAATTCTCCCTATATACTTTTAAATTCTTATCTTTAGAGTTTATGTTTGTCTAAAATATCATTGCTTTGATAACACATTTTCCAACCTTCTATCTCCCACATTCTTTTGCTCCAATCCACTGTCTTCCCTACCTCTGTTGTAGTCTGAGCTTATACTCAGGTCTGATCCTGAATGCTTCATGAAAGGCAAGTGTAATGTGCAAGAGAGCATGCTAAGTTACACTGCAAATGCATTAAAAATAAAACAGCTGGGGATGGTGGTTCATGCCTGTAATCCCAGCACTTTGGGAGGCCAAGGTGGGTGGATCCCTTGAGGCCAGAAATTCAAGACCATCCCAGTCAACATGGTAAAACCCCATCTCTACTAAAAATACAAAAATTAGCCAGACATAGTGGCACATGCCTGTAATCCTAGCCACTTGGGGGCTGAGGCATGAGAATGGCTTGAACCCAAGAAGCGGAGGTTGCAGTGAGCCAAGATTGTATGTACCAAGGCACTCCGACCTGGGTGACAGAGTGAGACTCCATCTCAAAGTAAATAAATAAATTAATTAATTAAAATAAAACAGGAGTGAATTTGTTCCAACCAAGTTCAGGAAAGTGATTGGTGTTTCTATATTTATAATAGTAGGTTTACAGTTATAAAGTTCTTTGAGACACTAGCATAATAAACATTAGGATGAGTAATCCTACAAACCTTACACATTCTTTGTACATCCTACTTGTGATCAGTGCTCTCCAAATTTATATAAGGCTTTCTTTCCTTCAACATGTCTATTACTCTAATTTTAAGTGTTTTATGCCAGATATATAAAATTTGTCACACTAACTTCTGTTTCATTTGCACATTGATATTTATCTGGTTTCTTGTTGAAACTATGAAAAGCAGTAACTCTTGGCTCTTTCTAAATATGTGAAATTCAAACATTATTTTTCAAGTTATTTCGATGTACGTATTCGCCCAGATGAACTTCGCCAACCAACCTGTTCCCTTTCATGTTTCAACTTGGTACTCAGGCTGGCTAATCTCACGGCAGTAAAAATGTATTTTCAGTTCCTAGACTCACAACCGTGTCTCCCATCATCCCAGACAATAGGCAGTGCTTTTGTCTCTGCTTTCTTTAATTATGAGAGCACTTATGGCAATGAATTACCTCTGAGAATGGCTTTATCCCCACTACATAAATCTTGACTAGAAGTAGTGGCAATAAAATTGATTTAGAAATGGTAAATGTAATTTGTTTACTTACTGAACAAAGAGACATTTAAATGGCTAGCCAAAAAATTGAGACTTTGCGTCTCTCCTATAATAGTTTTTTTTGTTTTGTTTTGTTTTTGTTTTTTTAAGACATATTCTCACTCCGTTGCCCAGGCTGCAGCGCAGTGGCACGACCTTGGCCCACTGCAACCTCTACCTCTTGGTCTCAAGCAAGTCTCCTGCCTCAGCCTCCTTGAGTAGCTGGGATTATAGGCGCACACCACCACACCCAGCTAATTTTTGTATTTTTAGGAGAGAAGGCAGTCTCACCATGTTGGCCAGGCTGGTCTCAAACTCCTGGCTTCAAGTGATCTGCCTGCCTAAGCCTCCCAAGGTGCTAGAATTACAGGGGTGAACCACGCATCTGGTCTATAACAGAGGTTTTTTGTTTTTGTTTTTGTTTGAGACAGAGTCTCACTCTGTCACCAGGCACCAGGCTGGAGTGCAGTGGCTCAATCTCTGCTCACTGCAACCTCCACCTTCCGCATTCAAGCAATTCTCCTGTCTCAGCCTCCCAAGTAGCTGGGACTACAGGCGCATGCCACCACGCCTAGCTAATATTCATATTTTTAGTAGAGACGGGGTTTCACCATGTTGGCCAGGATGGTCTCGATCTCTTGACCTCGTGGTCCACCCGCCTTGGCTTCCCCAAGTGCTGGGATTACAGGCGTGAGCCACTGCACCTGGCCTAACATAGTATTTTTAGACAGTTGACTTAGCCTGCTTTGCTACTCTTAAACACTCTAGAGTCTTGTTTCATGTGACCTTTACTACCTTTAAAGAGCTCCCTGGGGCAAGGAATTTGTGGTGCCAGATCAACAAGCCCAAGAGAATCCCGGATACCCTCTTAAAGGGACTCCAGACATGAGAAATCCAGCATTCCCGCCTCAACAGCCTTGAGTTCCTTTCTAGGACTCCTGCAGGCTGTTTCCTTGTCTGTCCTCTTCTGCTGCTGGTGTATGCACCCCCAAGCTTGAGGGGAAGCTAAAGAATGGCTTTTTTTTTTTTTTTGAGATGGAGTTTCACTCTTGTTGCCCAGGCTGAAGTACAATGGTGCAATCTTGGCTCACTGCAAACTCCGCCTCCTGGGTTCAAGAGATTCTCCTGCCACAGCCTCCCAAGTAGCTGGAATTACAAACATGAGCCACTATTCCCGGCTAATTTTGTATTTTTAGTAGCGAAGGACTTCTCCATGTTGGTCAGGCTGATCTAGAACTCCTGACCTCAAGTGATCTGCCTGCCTTGGCCTCCCAAAGTGCTGGGATAACAGGTGTGAGCCACCGTGCCCAGCCAAGAATGGCTTTTATTGTGAATGTGACCAAAGCTTGGATATGCAGCCTAAAATGTCCACAAGTGGATCCAAAGCCACTTGCCATAAGTGATGAAGATGAGGATGGGAAGAGAAAAGAGGCCGACCATGGACAGGGCATAGGTGATAGGACTATTCAGGGACTCTCTTTCTCTGTGCCTCCATGGTCTGGCTTGAAATTCCAGGGAATGTGAGACTCTAAATTCTAACATGTTTTTCAGGTCATTGTTACATCTTATTTATCAAAGTAGGAGGATAGAACACATATAATCTAACAATTTGATTTATAACCTTCGGTGCCCCTGATAAGAGGTCTGCTTCTGAAAAAGGAATAGTCTTTGTTATTTCCAAAAGATGCAAAAATAAAAAAGAAAAGATTACTTGAAGGTAGTAACTATTTTAATCATTTTTAAAATGTAATGCACGTTTATATCCTAGAATTATCATAGTCATTAAAGCTAACTTCTGTTTCATTTGCACATTGATATTTATCTGGTTTCTTGTTGAAACTATGAAACCAGATAAATAAACATCTTTAATGTTTAGAGATTTGTTGTCATCATATATCATTCTTTAGCATATATAAAACAGAATATATACCCAATACATTGTATTCTTAAAATGCTTTTACATGCAGATATCAACTCTTCAGAAATACCTTTTTGCTCAGCGTCATTGAGGTTAGTGTATTTTCCAGTAATGATACCATCTCTGCCATTGAGAATGCCAGTGTTACAGCATTTCTCAAGAATGTTTCCTTATTGTCTCCAAAATTCCCTTCCAATGACTTCCGCTCTATAAACATTGATGCTCACACTCTCTTGATCTTATAAGCCAGTATCAAAGGCAGGTTTTCAGATAACAATTCGGATTTATATTTCTTCCTCAAATTATTCTTAAAGGGTTTTGCTGGCTGATTGTTTATGGTACCAGGAAAATCACCAGGTTCAGACATATGCAGGCAATGGCAACTACATTTCGACAACCTGGTTGCTCAGCTACTAAAGATTATACGGTGTCATTATAGTCACCATTTACTTTTAAGATCAACATTCTTATTGAAATCAAGAAAAAGAGGACAAGCTATTAAACTTAAAAACATCAGGCCAGGCGAGGTGGCTCATGCCTATAATCCCAGCACTTTGGGAGGCTGAGGTGGGCTGATCACAAGGTCACGAGATAGAGACCATCCTGGCTAACATGGTGAAATCCCATCTCTACTAAAATATATATAAAAAAAAAAAATTAGTGGGGCATGGTGTCACTTGCCTGTAGTCCAAGCTACTTGGGAGGCTGAAGCGGGAGAATCACTTGAACCTGGGAGTCAGAGGTTGCAGTGAGCCAAGATCACGTCTCTGCACTCCAGCCTGGGTGAGACTCTGTTTAAAAAACAAACAAAAAAGTCGATCTTTTCATTGTTAGATTGCTTTAAGTAACAACTTATTTTTTCTGTTGTTCATTATTAAGTGAATTGCACTAGCTTTTACCTGTGAGAGAGCTAGTAGAAATTTTTTACATTTAATATTGCATCCATCTTTTATTTTCAAATAAATTACACAATAAAATGTGCATGTTATAAATACAATGGAGTTACTGTTCAATCTTGGAAAACTGATTCTTGGCCAAAGGAAATGGTAAAAGTAAAATAGAGCAGTGAATTATTTTTAAACCACAGTAGTCCATGTCATGTCACACAGTTTTTAAAATTATAATATCTTGTTTTTTTTTTTAGAAGACTACACTTTAAAAATCGACCTTGAAGATTTTGAAAAAAATAGCCGTTACGCACAATATAAGAACTTCAAAGTTGGAGATGAAAAGGTACTACAATTTTCTCTTAAGTAAAACCATGAATTAATGCTTAAAATATGCAATATAACCTTGAAGTCAGTGGAAATAAAAATATACAGTAGAGCCTGTTCTTTTGTTTCTTAAATAAACTTGATTTTAAAGTGGTCATAGAGGAACTCCATTGATAGTAGAAATTGTTCTTTTTCTTTAGAATTTCTATGAGTTGAATATTGGGGAATATTCTGGAACAGCTGGAGATTCCCTTGCGGGGAATTTTCATCCTGAGGTGAAGTGGTGGGCTAGTCACCAAAGAATGAAATTCAGCACATGGGACAGAGATCATGACAACTACGAAGGGAACTGCGCAGAAGAAGATCAGGGTGGCTGGTGGTTTAACAGGTTTGATGTCTTATGAACATAGTCATAATGGAATTGAGAGCTCACTGATAGGTATTAATTATTATTATTATTATTATTATTATTATTATTATTTGAGGCAGAGTCTTGCTCTGTTGCCCAGGCTGGAGTGCAATGGCACAATCTCAGCTCACTGAAACCTCCGCCTCCTGGGTTCAAGCGATTCTCCTGCCTCAGTCTCCCGAGTCGCTGGGGCTGCAGGCGCGCACTACCACACCCGGACAAGTTTTGTATTTTTAGTAGAGACGGGGTTTCACTATGTTGGCCAGGCTGATCTCGAACTCAGGACCTCATGATCTATCTACCTCGGCCTCCCAAAGTGTGGGATTACAGGCGTGAGCCACCACACCCGACAGGCATTAATTATTAATATAATTTATGAGGTAATGTTGATCTTTATTTGTAATATTAGTATTATTAAGTAATCATTCTTATTAGAATTCTTCAATGGAGTTTTGAGATTTGTTCATTGTGTGCGTTAGTAAAGTTTAAGTGTCATAGAAAAGAATTATTACTTTTATAAAGAACATTTGTAAACTGAATTATGGATGAGTTATAAATAGAAGAAGGCCACAAATTCACACAAAGAAAGAGAGAGGATATAAATGTATGGAAAATATTTGGCATCCTAATAACCAACTATTCTTCACCCACCGAATCACACACAGGAGGCATTGTTATTGCCGTCATTTTTCTGTGTAGTACTACTTTTCAGTCACTATGGCTTTCATTAATTCATCAAATCCAAGCCTTTCCCAACACAGAATTTTCCTTTACAATAATCCTGAAACCTAATTCTGCCCTCTGACTGAATACTTTCATGTTACTTTGTCAGCAAATTAACTCCATTCTTGATTGCACATAGTTGCTTCTTTTTTTACTGATACAAAATATTTTATATATTTCTGGAGTACGTGAGCTAATTTCTGTGTTTTTGGTAGAAATGGGGTTTCACCATGTGGCCCAGGCAGGTCTCGAACTCCTGGCCTTATGTGATCCACCCACCTCAGCCTCCCAAAGTGTTGGGATGACAGGCGTGAGCCACCGCACCTGGCCTAATTCATACGTTTTAAATTGCATGCCATTCTGAGCATAGAGTCGCACCACTGGCTTCCTTCTGCACGGGAGGTGGGTCATCCCTTTGTCCGGCGTCTCCAGGCTGAAAGCCCTCCCTGCCCCTGTGACACTTAGTAGCAGTCTCATTTATCAGATCCAGTGTTGTGGTTTCACAGTGCTTGTGTTCAAGTCATCCTTATTTGACTTAATAACGATCCCAAAGCACAGGAGCTGTAAAGCTGACATATTTTTATATAATTATAGTCTTTTGTTATTAGTTGTTAATCTCTTACTTAGCCTAATTTAGAAATTAACTTTATCATAGGTATGTATATTATAGGAAAAAACAGAGTGAACTACTGTAAATCGTTTTTTTCTTCCTATTCCCTATTGATTTCCCCCCTTGGAGTTCTGACATTTTACAGTGAAATACATTGCCGTGGTCTTCTTTTCGTTTACTACAGTGGGTACTCAGTGGTTCTTTTCAATCTATATCATGTCCTTCAGTTTGGTAAGTTTTATTTTCGTTATCTGCTCAGGAGTCACTTCGTAGGTGTTTTGGTTATCAGACTGAAAAAACATAGTATGGATATACAGAACTTGGTATCATCTGTGGTTTCAAGGCATCCACTACAGGGTCTTGGAACATATCCCCTGCAGATAAGGAGTACTGCTGCAGTTATACTCATGGTACAGACTGTTTTTAACAGTCATTTTTTCCTGTATTTTGCTTTTTTTAAAAAAGTTTGAGTCCATTTAACATTTGATGATCTGTAAGGGTGTTGGAGTATTTCCAGCAGCGTGAAGGGGAGAAACAAAGTTCTCTCTCTTTTGAAGGTGATGATAGTCTTTTCCCTAGTAGTTTTCCTGTTATTTTGAAAACTGTATTCTTCACCTCTTCCTACTCCTTTTTTCTTTCCCCCTTGTTCTTCTAAGTTAGCATGATATAAAACTTACCTGTAATTCATGAAGTTGTCTGCGAGCATCAACAATGTTTGATTTTGAAAAGAATTCTATATACAGAAATAATTACTAATAGTATCATGAGATCAAAACCATGTACTTTATCCAGCTGACTGGCTTCTAAGACATCTGAATGAAAACTACCATTCATATTAATGTGGGCAAAGGAATGGCAATTCATTAGCCGGAGCCACCCAAGGAGCCTACGTTATCCTTGGAATCAAAGGAGCTGATAAAGTTGTGCAGTGGAAAATCGATAGGCACTAAAGGAGAGAAAGTAGATTGTTCTAGAAGCTTGGAGCTAGCTCTTTTGCCCATGCTGGAGTGCAGTGGTGTGATCTTGGCTCACTGTAACCTCCGCCTTCCAGTTTCAAGCAATTTTTCTGCCTCAGACTCCTGAGTAGCTGCTGGGACTACAGGTGTGTACCACCATGCCTGACTAATTTTTGTATTTTTAGTAGAGACAGTGTGTCACCATGTTGGCCAGGCTGGTCTCGAACTCCTGACTTCAGGATATCCACCCACCTCGGCCTCCCAAAGTGTTGGGATTACAGGTGTGAGCCACCGTGCCCAGCCCACTTGGTGCTGCTTCTACCATGCCTACTATTAGTGTAGTTTGACTATCATCTTTTCCTCCTTTTTACTTGTGCTGTTTTTCTGTCCCATAGTTCTTCTAATTTACATGAAATGTTGGCACTTCATAAATATTACCCACCTATGAGATGCTGTTTTTCCACATAGCAAACAAATCACTGGATGTTGATGTCTTTTGTTTGTTAGCGTAGCATCTTGTGTGAGTGCTCCCAGCCACTTCTTCACCAAGGGAACCCCAATCATCCCCCAACCTAGTTTCATATCCAGGCTGTTCTAAAAACTAAAGGATGCTGGAAAATTGGTCTCAGAATAGTGAAAGTTTCTTATGTTGATCATAGAGTCAAATACAAAAATACAGTTAGCAAATGTCTCTAGACAGACAAATATATGCCAAAATATATATTCTGGAGACTCAATTTACCAAATTTTCTTTTTTTTTTTTTGAAACGGAGTCTTGCTCTGTCGCCAGGCTGGAGTGCAGTGGTGCAATCTTGGCTCACTACAACCTCCGCCTCCTGGGTTCAAGCAATTCTTCCATCTCAGCCTCCTGAGTAGCGGGGACCACAAGCACATGCCACCACGCCCAACTAATTTTTGTATTTTTAGTAGAGACAGGGTTTCACCATGTTGCCCAGGATGGTCTCGATCTCTTGACCTCATGATCTGCCCGCCTTGGCCTCCCAAAGTGCTGGGATTACAGGCATGAGCCACCGCACCTGGCCCATATCTTCTTTTTTAACATTACTTTCCATGCTGTTTTAAAAACATAGTAGGCTTTGACATTTGCAGATGTAACATACATATTTTCAACTAATTACATCCATTTAAATTAGGAGAACTTTGAGAATGCTCACTAGGAGTGATCATTAAGCTGATAAGTGATTCAAGCCAGCCATTCAGCCTTATGGGTAGATTATGTGCTTTTTTGATTCAATAATTTGGGTTTATCCGTAGATGTTCAGAACTATCTCTTGTGCATGTTCTCCTTTTCTCCTAATTCTAACATCTTTTCATTAATTATATCAATAGAAAAGAATATGGTAATTTTCATAATACACATAAACTTATTACATATTCTTATATATAAATTATACCTATCAAGGACAAAATCTGCAGACTCCAAAGGAGGAAAGGAACATTTTTAATGTCGATGACCTAACTAGCTTATCTAGGTTGGTGCAATATCTGTAAAAAATTAACTCAGCAACTGGGAAAAACTCATTATTGGTTGATGGGTGGGAAAACTTTAAATGGTGGTTTAGGTTTTATTTGCTTACCCTTGAGATTAAAATAATTGATATGCTAGCAATTTAAAGAAAGGGAGGGAGTTTGAATATGAAAACCAGGTCTTAGCAGCAGATGAACGAATGTGTAAGTGCAAATTCTCCAGGAAAGCCAGCAGAACACCTGCCCCACACCTTGCTTTGCTGACACTCACCTTGGCTCTTGCTAAGTACTAGGTTAGCTGTTCTGAGTCAGGAGGTTGTAACACTGGAGGTTAAAGAGATGTGTTTTGTTTCCTTGTTTTAATTTTTTGTTTAAAGGCCATCAAAAATTGAAATGCTTATTTTTCAATGCACTATGAGTGGCCTGGGTTGTATTTTCAGATTTGTTATGGCAGTAAAACTCACCAGTTTAAAATACCCATCTCTGAGGCCAGGCGCAGTGGCTCACACCTGTTATCCCAGCATTCTGGAAGGCCGAAGCAGGAGGATTGCTTGAGCTCAGGAGTTCAAGACCAGCCTGGGCAACATAGAGAGACCCTGTTTATATTTAAAAAAAAAAAATAATAAGGCCAGGTGCGGTGGCTTACGCCTGTCATCCCAGCACTTTGGGAGGCCGAGGCGGCCGATCACCTGAGGTTGGGAGTTCGAGACCAGTCTGACCAACATGGACAAAACCCGTCTCTACTGCAAATACAAAATTAGCCAGGCATTGTGGCACATGCCTGTAATCCCAGCTACTTGGGAGACTGAGGCAGGAGAATTGCTTGAACCTGGGAGGCAGAGGTTGCGGTGAGCCGAGATCATGCCACTGCACTTCAGCCTGGGCAACAAGAGTGAAACTCCATCCCAAAAATAAAAATAAAATAAAATAAAATATTCATCTGTTGTAGAAATTTCTCAGCTTTTGGAAACTAGTATTTACTTGTCTGAAAAATGGCATAATTCATAGTTCAAAAGTTTTGAGTATTTGCTAGCAAAATTAGAGCTTCTGAACAGTATTTTTCTGGTCTAATGGTTGTGTTCTTTTTTCCACCCTTCCACTAGGTGTCACTCTGCAAATCTGAATGGGTTTTACTACAGCGGGCCCTACACGGCTAAAACAGACAATGGGATTGTCTGGTACACCTGGCATGGGTGGTGGTATTCTCTGAAATCTGTGGTTATGAAAATTAGGCCAAATGATTTTATTGCAAATGTAGTTTAATCATTCCTGCTGGGCTATTATTTCTGCAGTTCAGCTTTTGTTTAAAGCGATTTGAAACAGTAATTCTGAGCATATCCATGTGCAATTATGATAACTGTTGTTGAGTACTGCTTTTCATTCTTCTTACTCGCCTTTGTCACTTAATGTACTTTCAGTACGACAGATATGCAATATTCAACAAATAAATGTAAATTGTGTTACCATTTATGGAGTTCCTGTGTACAAAAGGCTCTGATAAAAGCTTATGTCAGACAAAACACGCAAAGCATAGATTAATATATACCATGACTTAGGAGATACAAGCATAAATGCATAATAAATTATGGATGCAATTGGCAAAACACATGACAAAATCCAGCAAATAATGGATTGCCGAATCAACTGCAGAGACAATAAATATTGAGCTGGGATTTGAACTCAGGTTTCGGATTACAGAGTGCAAACTTTTAATCACAACCCATTATCTTAATCACTACGAAACGCTACTCATATTTTCAGGATGTGTATGTAGGTTATACACATCTCTCACACGGCTCTTTTTAATTCTTATGCCAATCCTCTGAGGTTATTACTATCTCCATTTGGCAGAGCTGAGAATTGGTGGGTCTGAGTTTTTGTAACTGCTCTAAGTTACAAAGTAGGGGAACAAGGCCTCAAATCCAAGTTTTCTGATGCTAAATCAAATGTTTTGCCACCATCCTATAGCTACTTCTCGATAGAACTTGGATTGGTGCAGAGTAGGGAAAGAATGTTTCAAATGAGAGTCAAAGATATTCCAAAAGGCCGGGCGCAGTGGCTCACACCAGTAATCCGGTCTGAGAGGTTGAGGCACGTGGATCTCTTGAGGCCAGGAGTTTGAGACCAGCCTGGCCAACATGATGAAACTGTTTCTCCAAAAAATACAAAAATTAGCTAGGTATGATGGTGTGAGCCTGTAATCCCAGCTACTCAGGAGGCTGAGGCAGAAGAATTGCTTGAAGCCGGGAGGCAGAGGTTGCAGTGGGCCGAGAAAATGCCACTATACTCCAGCCTGTCCAACTGCGTGAGACTCCATCTCAGAAAATAAAAAAGATACTCTAAAAAATATTTGTGTGCCAACTATGTGTCAGGCACAGAGGGTATAGTTCAAGCCCACATGGAGCTTAGTTTTTTGATAAAGGCATACAGTAATCATAGAATCACAAAATGTACATAATTTTGAAAGCTGATATGTATGAAGCAAAGATATGACACTGGGAAATGTATAACAGGAGGATCTGACCTGGCTTGGGGATAGGGGATCAGAAAAGCTCCCCAGAACAAATGACTTTTTAGCTGAGACCTTTTAACAACATGTACGTGGGGCGATATTGCATGCAGAGGAAACCATGTGTGTAAAGTACACACAGCAGGAAAGTGCTTGGGAACAAAAGTTTAGAGAGCAAATATTGTTTAGTGATCCTTAAGTCTTTAAGCCAAGGATTCTGCAACTTAATAGCTATGTGACCTTCAGTAGGCAACTTACCTTCTCTGCACCTTAGCTGTCTTATCTATAAGGTAACGATTACAATAGTACCTGCCTCACAGGGTTGCTTTGAGAATTATAAAAGTATACCACATGCCTTGCACAAAGTAAGCATTCAATAACAACTACTTTTTTCTCCTTTGAAAGTTTTTCTGCTTTTGATCTCCTAATTATGTGAGTTCTTCAGGCTACTACTTGAGCAATTAAGCCCATATTTAAAATTGTCACTGATGATCCATTGTTTATAGCTTACCAATGCGAGTTCTAGGGATGTGTCATGATTAGTGAAGTAGGCATTAAGGGATAGTAATAACAGATGCCTTTGAAATTCTAGGCCACATAAGGATATTAAGGTTAGTTTGTACTTTATTCTCTAAATCAGTGTTTCCCAAGTGGCACTTCTCAGACTTTAATGTCATACAAATCAACTGAAGATCTTGTTAAAATGTAATTGATTCCAGGGTGGGGCCTAATATTAGGGTTTTCCAACAAGTTTCTAGATGATGCAGATATTGCTGGTCTAGGAATTACACTTTGAAAAGCCAAAAGCTAGAGAACCACAATTCTATGAGATATTGATAGTTTGGTACAGGAAGAAGAAAAGGGCTGCTTGATCAACTACATTTAGGAGATGATATATTCAACAGAATTCAACAGATTTCTCCTGAGAATTTCTCCGTTCCTCTAATTTTCTAATGTGCATTCTGAAGTTCTAAGGACACATAGCATGCAGCATTTTTATATCTAGTTAAGAGTGTGTTCTGCTGCAAGGTATAAATCACCTGATTATGGAAGTCCAAACAAATAAGGATTTATTCATCTTCTGTAGTGAGAACTCAGGACGTAAGCAGTTGTTGACCTGTGTTCAGCGCAGCATGGAGGCTGATGTCCCTGCCATTCATTTAGCCCATCCTTCAAAATTGCAAATTGGCTACTGCAGTTCCTGCTTTGAGTTCATGTCAAAAGCAGTAAGAAAAGCAAAGGGTCAACAGACTTCAGTTTATCCCTTGTTGGTCAGAATTACATCATATATTCACTGCGTCTGGAAGTATGATGAGGAAGAAGATTTATTTTTACGATCTCTATAGGATGTGCAGGCAAAGGAGAAGGGTTTGTCATGGTTATTGACTGTTTTTCAGTGCGGTCTTGTGGGAACAGCGTTCGGTAGAACACACGTTGATAATCTATAAATAATAGATCATCAGTGACAATTAAAATATGTGCTTAATTGCTCAAGTAGTAGCCTGAAGAACTTCCACAATTAGGAGATCAAAAGCAGAAAAGCTTTTAGAGAAGAAAAAAAAAGATTCCATAGAGAAGTGGGAGGAGAGCTAAACAAGTTATGGTGCTATGTAAACCGCAGTTTTCCAATGCAGAAGGAATAATTTTTAAAACTTTAAATCCCATAAAATAATAGAAGAGAAGTTCTAATGAAAGATCATGGCTAGGTGCAGTGGCTCACGCCTATAATCCCAGCACTTCGGGAAGCTGAAGCAGGAGAATCACTTGAACTCGGGAGGCGGAGGTGGCAGTGAGCCGAGATCGTGCCACTACACTGTAACCTCGGCAATAAGAGCGAATCTCCGTCTCAAAAAAAAAAAAAAAAAAAAAAGACCATTGGACTTGGTGATAATGTTATGTGTGTTCTGAAATCCATTTCAGTGGAATGGTAGGGAGCTCTAGGCCAGGGAAAAAAAGCAGTTAGAGAGAATAGATTGGAGCCTGGTGCAGCGGCTCACACCTGTACTCCCAGCATTTTGGGAGGCTGAGGCAGATGGATAACTTGAGGTCGGAGTGTGAGACTGGCCTGGCCAACGTGGCAAAAACTTGTCTCTATTAAAAATCCAGCAATTAGCCAGGCATGGTGGCACATGCTTGTAATCCCAGCTGCTCGGGAGGCGGAGGTTGAAGTGAACCAAAATTGCGCCATTGCACTCCAGCCTGGGCAACAGAGGGAGCCTCCGTCAGAAGAAGAAGCAGCGGAAGCGGAAGCGGAAGCGGAAGAGGAGGAGGAGGAGGAGAGAAGAAGAAGAAGAAGAGGAGGAGGAGGAGGAGGAGGAGGAGGAGGAGGAAGAGGAAAGAAGAAGAAGAAGAAGAAGAAGGAAGAAGAAGAAATTGACACATGAAAATATCCTATATAATCTTATGCATATAGAGAAGTTTTTGTTGGTGTTTTATGAGGACTATGAAAAGTAAGTTACACTCTCATTGATACTTTAAAAAGATATACATAACTCATATACATGTGGGAAAAAATCTGCATGTATACGGGATTGCGGTTACCTCGGGGGACTGGGCTTGGAGATGTAATGAAAGGACCCTCCTTTTTCTTTTTTTTTAAATTTGAAACACAGTCTCACTCCATCGCCAGGCTGGAGTGTAGGGGCGCAATCCCGGCTCACTGCAGCTTCCATTTTCCGGTTTCAAGCAATTCTCCTGCCTCAGCCTCCAGAGGAGCCGGGACCACAGGCGCGCACCACCACACCCGGCTAATTTTTTGTACTTTTAGTAGAGACGGGGTTTCACCATGTTGGCCAGGATGGTCTGTATCTCTTGACCTCGTGATCTGCCCACCTCGGCCTCCCAAAGTTCTGGGATTACGGGCGTGAGCCACCGGGCCTGGCCAAGGACGCTGCTTTTTATATTTCATACCATTTAATGCTGTGAAATGTTTTCTCATATGCGCATAGTACCTATTTAATAATAATACTTTTTCTATTAGCAAAATGAAAAAAATCAGTTGTTGATCCTAAAGAAACAAATCAAATGACATTAAGGATATAATTCTATCAGATGTATTATATGTAGGTTTGGCAATTTAGCTCATTTCAAAAACATACAGAAATCGTGACACTGAACTGCTATCAAGCTGTGCTGTGAATACTTCAGCCCCCAGTCACATGTTGCTCCTGCTTTCTTGAAATAAAGCCAGTCCTCATTCAGATGAGCTGTAAGTATAAAATAAACAATGGATTTTGAAGACATAGTGTTCCAGAAAAAGCAAACACCTCCAAAAATAAGAATATTTTTTATGTTGGTTACATTGTTAAATAATATTTTGTATGGATGAGGCTAAATAAAGTATATTACTAAAACTAGACTTCTAAAGTTTTACTTTTAAAATTTTATTATTAGAAATTTTAAAATTATATATATTGGCCAGATGTGGTGGCTTACACCTGTAATCTCAACACTGAGAGGCCAAGGTGGGTGAATCAATCACTTGAGGTCAGGAGTTCGAGACCAGCCTGCCCAACATGGCAAAACCCCATCTCTACTAAAAACACAAAAATTAGCTGGGTGTGGTGGTGCACGACTGTAACTCTGGAGACTGAGGCATGAGAGTCGCTTGAACCTGGGAGGTGGAGGTTGCAGTGAGCTGATATTGCACCACTGTATGCCGGCCTAAATGACAGAGAGAGTCTCAGTCTGAGAGGAAGGAAGGAAGGGAGGGAGGAGGGAGGGAGAGAAAGAGAAATAGAGAAAAAAAGAAAGAAATTTTGAAATTACATATATTGCTCTTATTACCAGCTTGTCTTATATTTTTATTTGGACAGTAATGTCAAAGAATTTTCACTGAACCTGTACACCATGTGGCTACAATCTGCATAAATCGTATATGTCTGTTTGAATGTGACTGTTGAGTGAATTAATGTTTTTTTAAAAAAACTAAATATACTTTTCTTTTTTAAAAAAAAAAA